GTGAATGTAAGAGAAGAATGTAACAGAAGCGTAAACGAAACTTTTAGAAAACAAAGATAATGAATTGTAAAAAAGGTGTTTATGCTTCTTTTATAGTTCAATTTTTGCCTCCTTTAAAGTTTTATTTACACTTCTGTTACTCTTCTCTTGTTCTTCGAAATCGGTGTCGACTGGGTTATATTTCGATTATATCGTAGTTAAATGTATAAACTTTATTGGCCAAAATATTAAATAAGCGTATAACCGAAATTAGTCGGATTTAAACATATCCAAAGGATCTGCAGAATCGTAATACTCGACACAATTCTAAAATATACTGGAATATGACCTAACACCATATTAGCTCACAAATTTGTGCTAAATTCGCTTTTGATCGAGAGAAGTGGATTAAAAAATACTTAATACTTTAATTGGATTAAAAAATGTATGAAAAATCACTTATAGGAAGAAAGGCATCTCGATAATCATTGATGTTCGATTAATGAACAGTATGTTATGGCTATCAATTTCGAAATTGAAGATTCAGAATTAATTGTATCTTTAAAATAAAATTGTTACACGTTACACGTTATTCTTCAGCCATAGAATATATTACATTATTTAAATTCGAAAAGGTACATTATTACATGTTTCGGCTCTTGGATTGAGCTATCTTCAGATGATATAACAAACGCAATGAATTTATTACCAAAGAAGAACATCGTAAACATAATAGAAAGCGTTAAACATGGAGTGTAATGATCAGGTGAATGCTTCACAGAAATTACTCGCAAACGGTTTAACGACCGATTGTTGGGAATTTCTTGGTATCCTAATGAAAAAACAAATTGTTAAAAAATGAATAAAAATTTTGAAAAAATTTAAAAATATATACCAAAAAAGTCGTGTTGAAGGCAAGTGAAAATGTCATCTTGATAAAATACTCATCAATATGGTCACAGTTTTTGTTTCTTATAAATAACCTCTGTCAGAAACATAAAAACAGTGTGATAATACACTAAAAGAGCGCCAGTCAGATAGTAATAAAACCAATATCACAGTCAATGTGGAAATAAATTATTAAATATCTATCTATAAATCTCTATATCTATCTAAATTATGTAATATATTCTATGTCTCAATTTTTTCATTCAGAATCAGAATTTCACATTCAGAATTATTAATATCGACTCTTATACGCCTTTTATAATCTTTGTATTGTTTCTTAAAATTAAGATTCCTATAGTCTTCATTACATGATTTTATACTTCAGCATTTGCTTTAATTAAATACGTATACACATGTAAAAATAAATTAAAAATAAATTAAACATTTGAAGAGACAAAATATACACATTGGTATAACAATATACTTTACTTCACTGTAACGTTGATTGCAGCAAACGGACGTTCGATCAAGTTTGGAACATTTCTCGAGCACACCGGTTAAATCACTTCCGTGTAAGAGGGAAGATACCCCTCCGGCATCATTAACGTCCCTGGCACCATTGACCAGTTTGGCAAACTTACCGAACAGCACCATTGCCTCCACGCCGCTGTCGATCGCATCCGCGTCAAAGCTGCTCACAACAGACAACAAGAGTCTCATGAGGTCAGTATGATGAACTACATATTGTACAATGAAATCCGCGTTTTTTTCCTCGAACTAGCGACGTAATAGAGCCGCGCTCTTATTAATTTCTTAATTAGTCACTCACTCAAAATCGATTTGGGGTATAAGAAGAAAAATATATTTTCCCCGAAACTTCCGCGAGATGAAAAAAACATCGATTTAACAGCAACTTCTTATTTTAATTGCGAAAGAAATCTACCATTACGTTGCCTAGCGTGATTACGATTAATTTACTTTCCGCCTGAATTACCGTAACCGATTATTACTATCGGCACTAAGATCCCCGTCGTCGAATCGACCGAGTTCTAGATAAGGCTTCGCCTTCGGTCATAGGTCATGGCACAAAAATTCACCGGACGCCTCTCGTCGAACGGGTTACGCGTCCTTAACGGAAGCGCTAATCAGCGCGACCTTTATCGCTAATGCGCATCTCATTCTCATTGCATCTGTTTTTTTTTTCTTTTTTTTTTTCAGCCAATCGACGATAGTCAGTTCCACGGTAAATGGTGTCGCCAGTGGCGGTGCACCGACGATGTACAGACCCAACTTCAGTCAAGCGTTCCAGCGTGCCGGACCCACAACGGTACCTCCGACTCTCTCGGCCGGGCTATATCCGACTCAAAGTTTTACGTCAAGTCTACTAAGCAACGGTATACAAAGTAATACTGATTATTGGTGTAATATGTTACGCTTTTACACTCATTTGTTCGATCAAGAAGGTACATAACAGCAAAGCTTTAATCAGCTTTGATTAAAATTTTTATTTATTTTTTTTTTCTTCTATTTTACTTTTCTTTATTTGTATTTTATTCTTTTAATTGTATGACTTTTTTTAAAGGAATGCGTTGACTCTTACTTTGCCCTTTATTTATTGTTATTTATTTTGTATAGGAAGGGTCCTTCAATTTTGTGTTAAATATTTATTTTTTTTATATATAAGTTTCGAATATCTTATTCGCGTCCAATTGGCAATTTAATGATTATATGAATTAATGTACTATTTGTTTGCAGTTTGCTCCATTTTTATGAGAACAATAATGCTTCGGTTTAACACGTTCCATGCCATGCTAATTTTAAGTGATTTGATCACCACACTATGTGGATCTCCGGTGACCCACGACATTGTGCGAATTTGCGTTTGTTGTATTTGTTAAATAACATTTTTATTTCATTTAATAATTAAGAAAATTACAAGTTTATATTATAAAAAAGGAAGCATAATATATCATTATTGCATTACATATCATAATTACGTTCATGTATGATATCAAGAATTGTTGCATAATTGATTACTTTCCTTTTTATAGCCCAAAATATTAAATAGTTTGAACAGAAAGTTCAGCTTAAACTCACGTGGCACGGAACGTGTCAATGATTCTTTATGATGCAGCTTGCATGAAACCTTATCTCAAAATATATGCTTGATAAAGTTTGCTAGAATACTTTGGAATTGTCGCGCGCAATTGATTTTGAATTTACGTTATCCTTGTAGGACCGACGGATCTTAGCATGAAGAACCCACCAAAGCCTGCTCTACTGAGTCACAAACTGAACTCGATGGAACTGACCGCGGTGAAACAACTGATAGGTGGATATCGAGAATCAGCTGCCTTTCTGCTCAGATCCGCCGACGAGCTGGAACAATTGTTGCTCCATCAACCATAGAGCTACGTTTATTTGGCCAGCGTTCGGCAGCTTGGCTCGTAGTTACAACGATCGATGGGAAAGCGATGCGAGTATTGATATACACACAGCGCCTGTGTGAGCATCGAGAGTAACGCAGTCAGCATAGATTCGTTTCTTCAAGACCGTTTATACCGCTACTCTATCGGCAATTCTGACTCTACATACGAACTTATCTTTTGCCACAAAATGGTCCCACTTGGGCGAACTAAACGCATTCGATCCAATAAGACTAGAGTGCAAGATTATAATTTGTATTTAAATGATTTAAATGTGAAAAACTCAAAAAGTATAATAATTTGAGAATAATTTAAGAAATTAATCCGAATTACTTTTATGATTGTACGTAAGAAAATTGTTTTCGACGAAAGTCGAGAGGCTATAATCGCGACGAATTCATACTGAAGAGTTTTTATCGTTATATATTGACTGCGTTCGGGGAGCGCGCTATCAGCACTATTTCTGCCATATTATCTTTGTTTCACATCTAATAGACGATGAAGATAGAGTGACACAAATAGCGCTAATAGCGATTCCCCGAACGCAGCCATTGTTCGATCGAAAGCGCCAAAAACAGAAGAGTTCCATATACATAATGAATAATTGCATATTTCATTACATGCGTCGTCGCGATATTTTTAATTCTAGGATTAAGAAAACTATTCGAACAGGGTGTACATAAAAAGATATTTACTTAATTACTCATAAGCTTAAAGAATGATGTGGCGAGCTAGGATGTGTGCGCGAGTGTAAGGAAAAAAGTCGAAAAAGGAAGAAGCTTCCGGACAAGTCATTTGGAAGCGTGTGCTAGTATTTTCTAATGGGGATGAAAAAGTCCTGGAACTTCTTCTTTACGGCCGGGAGACGCACTTGCATTTTTTCCTACTCAGATTCGTAAGCTTCGAAAAAAACCGTTCGTGAGAGCTCCGTAAATCTGTTGCAAGTATCTACTTCAATCGTTTCGATGATGGTCGAAAAAAAAGCTGTTGTATGTTCTTACGAGACGATAATTTCGCTAATCTGTTTGTTGTCGTTATGTACATATGACGTAAATGATATATGATGAGAATAGTTACTCTCATGCGTGAGAAAACGCGATTAATTTACAATTAAACGCGACGGAATCGCGCCATTTACTTCGAGAGTGGCGTACATCTGAAGGATCAGTTCAAGATACGAAAACAACGTGATAAAATTTGAATTTTAGAGAGATTATCAAATATTATTGATTTTTCGCCATTTTTGGAGCAAATGGTGGATCAGATGAAGATTTTACGACAGTCATACGTGTATATAGAAAGATAATGCATCCGCGCGCATTGATACGCGTGTATATAATACGTAGGTCGTAAAACAAGATTTTTTTATTGGCGATGCGTCAGAGGCCTCGTCTCTCAGTGGAAATTAATTAGCTAATCAATTAACAATAATTGTACAACGTCGTCGTAATATAGTTAGACCAGAGTCGTTTTGGAAACGAAGGAGCGTAGTGATCGGGAGTATAATTTCGGGACCATCTTGTCACGATCGGACAATACGTTAACCGTATTCGTGGTCTCCGGACGCATCACTGTGTTTACCAAAGAACACTAATTATTATGAGTAATGTACGTATAGTACTATGTAAGGGTCGCGTTCTTCTTCTTTCGTTATTCCTTTCAGACGACACTTCTGTTATGGAAACGCGAAATCATTTTCTTCATCGACTAATACTACGGAGATAGATATACATGCCACTACATGTGGATTACGTGATAACTATACGCATTGTCTCAGATTATGAGTTTACCCATCATTCTTTTTATTATTATTAATATTTAGATTATTATCGCTACTGTATTATTATTATTTTTATTATTATCATTATCATTATCATTTTTGTTATTATCATTACGATTATCACTGATATTATTGATTGCGAATCGAGGAATCGCGAGAAGATAGTTCGTGAGATAGTATGAATAGTTTATTCTGTTCTCTAATTATCATTTTCCACGGAGAGTTTCCACTCGTTAAGTCTACTTTGTCGTTGTTTTGGACATAGTTTATGTACATTATAAACGAAATGCATATAAAGATTGCGGAAATTAAGTTGCTTAAATAATTAGATACAAAGAAGAGTATATATATATATATGTAAATGCAAACAATTGCTGATTACTGTCATCGTCGAACTCCGCGCAGAACATTCCAATGAAAGAAAAGCAAATAGAAAAATAGACGAGGGAAAAGATGAACAAGAAAAATCTAAAGAAAAAATTTTATTAAAAATGAAATGGAAGAGACAGAGAGAGAGAGAGAGAGAGAGAGAGAGAGAGAGAGAATGTGTGAAAAAGAGAAAAAGAAAATATGTGTGCGTGTGTATGTGTGCGCGCGATCATTGAACATGCGCTCATCGAAGATTTTATGGAAATTACGACTTTTATTGACCGACGATAGTCGTACTTCCATTTTCCTTTTCTGTTTGCGAGCAAATCACCGCGTCGAAATGTGCCCGTCGTCGCGCGATCGAAATTACAATAATGTTCGCGGCACTTTAGTGAGAGAGGATCGAATAAAGCGTTTCGTCAATTGGAATTAATTCTTATTGCCTCAATCATTTGAAACTTTGAATACTTGCGAAGTTGGTACACACGCCGCCCTCCCCATGAATACAATTTCTCGCCCGTAGTAAACGGACTCGTCTCTTTAATCGACACAGTGCAATAGTCTATAGATACCGTTGTTCTACCGTATATTGTCAATCGTCGTCACGATCATGCTTCTGTCATGCACGACATAAATAGTCTCAGCCATCCCAGTCCACCATTTTACGCGCTGTCCCTTTGGTTTCAAGCAGGCATCACATTTCTTCATGAATATTAGCAGTTATTGACAAGTTCATATCTTACCACTAGCATTACTAGCGTACATTTATACGTAATTCACCTCAGATCTTTGTAGCCACATACATCGCGAGGGCCGAGCTCCGTTTTGCGTACCACATGTTTCTCCCTCCCCCCTCGAATCCGATGACCAATAATGTTCACTGCGCATTCTGCTAATAATTAATATGATTATATACCTCGACGAATCTAAATCTAAGATTGGATTCGTGAAATTCGAGAACTAATCGAAAGGAATTAATTGTAAATATTATTTTCGACCAAGTAAGAAGCGACTCGAAAATAAGAGTCGAATAATTGATTCTGTCATTGAGATAATTATATATATATATGTACATATACATATATATATAA